CACACACACACACAACCACCCCCCCACACACACACACTCCCACACACACACAGAACCCGGAGCAAATGGGAGGCAGGAAGAATGCTGAAGGCCCTGCCCAAGCTGGGCTCTGACTTTCTGGGGAAGGAACTGCTAGGGATGTGGATGAAGGAGGGAGCCCAGTGCAGATGCTCCCCAGCCTGAACTGCAGGACTGGTCCCGCCCGTTCGTCACCTGTGCAAAACGCTCAGAGCAGCTCATGAGGGCCCTGCCCCGCCCTCCGCTGCAGCCCCCTTTCCCTTGCAGGTGTTTTCCTTCAGTGGCAGCTGGAAGAAGAATCATCCCCTTAGGAGTCACTACGCCGACCCTGAGGACCCTGCCTGCTGGGGCCCTCATCAGAGCAGAAAGGTCCCCAGGAGACGAGGAGAGGGCACTTTCTCTGAGAAAATAAACTCTCACTGCCCCAAGCTCGGCCTAAGACCCTTCTTACAGAAATAAACGTCCTTCCAGGGCTCCTTGCACCCCCCTCCCACTCGGCACCAAGAGGAGACCTTACAGAGCACCCACCAGGTGCCAGGCACTGGGAGAGGCACCTGGTACGAGACGTACCCTGAAAGCCAGGATCCTGGCCCCAACGTGCACACCGGAGGGGCACCGAGCGCCCCACCAAGCTCCCCCTTCCCTGTTCTGGCTACGCCAGGAAAGCAGTATAAACCCAAAGGGAAGTGGCTCCATCTTACTCTCTGAGCGTGTTTGTGACCAAAAGACCCAACTCAAGGTTTCAGAGGTCTCAGTCCAGTCAGCCAACTCCATTGCCCCGGGCCTGAGGTCCAGCAGAACACCTGGTGGAAAGCCCCTCAGGATATCATGCCAGGGGTGGGGCTCTGCTCACCAGGACAAAACATGTACCCCAAAGGCCTGCCCACAGTGACCTGTCTCCTCAGCCACACCCTACCTGCCTCCTACAGTTACCATCTGGCTAACCCACTCAGGGGATTGATGCACGCAGTAGGTTAAGGCTCTCAGGACCCCAACATTTCACCTCTAAATTTTACTGCATTATCTCACATGAGCTTTTGAGGGGACACCTCGTACCCAAACCAAAACAGAACCCAGGCAGAAAAGGCTGTGTAAAGGAAGCTGGGCCTGTACCAGGCGGAGAGAAGGGGAAGAACTTCCAGGCAGAGAGACCGTCGGGACAAAGGCACAGTGGCATTAAAGGACACAGGGACTTTGGAGAGTCGCCAGGCGTTTAGTAAGGCAAGAGTCCAAGGAAAGAGAAAGGGTAGGGCAGGAGCGGGCCGTGGGAGGCTTCAAGGTCCCTGCTGTGGAGCCTGGACTTCATCTTGTGGCCCAAGGAAGCCTCAAAGGGTTTGGGCTGGGAAGCAACATGAAGTTCTGCTTTTGATAAAGAGGACTCTGGTGGCAGGAAGGGATTAGCAAGACTGAAGGCCAGAGCACTGGTTAGGAGGCCCTGCAGGGCTCTGCTGGGGACAGTAAGGGCTGCCTGGGTTAGAACAGTGACACGTCTAAGAAGTGCAGGGCTTTCCCACTGACTCCACGTGGCAGGTCGGTGAAGAGAGCTGTCTAGGATGACTTCAAGTCTCCGACTCCGGGCCGGGGCTCCAGGTGGCATCCGAGAACACAGAAAGAGCAGGCTTGAAGGAGAGGCGAAGAGCGAGCTTGGTTTGATGGGCATCGAGTTTAAAGTACCCGTGGACCCTCCGCCAGGTCGGAAGTGCCAGCAGGATTCTGGATATTGTGACCTGGGAGCTCCAGAGATGAGGCACAGATTCAATCTATGAGTCAACATAAAAACTGTCGTTGGAACCCTGGGGAATGGCTTATGCAGAGTGACATTGGAGGGCGGTGAGGGGGGGACAGACATGGAAGACAGGGAGCAAAGACAGAGCCTCAGGCCAGGCTAAGGTTTAAAGTTGGGACACAAGATCCAGGACCCACCAAGAAGCGTGAGAACAGAATAGCAGTGACCGTCCTGAAGAGAAGGCCAGAGATGAGCTCTCCAACGTGGTCTTGGGATGAATCAGTAAAGGGATCATTCCTTTTATTGTCTGGCTAGAATTCAAAGGAAGACTTTTCAGTGGTTTTCTTGTCTTCCTAAAATTGTGATATCTTCTTCCCTGAAAAACAGATGCCTCCAGAAATACAATGTTATTCTTAAAACAAAGAACAAAATTTAAAAAAAAAAAAAAATCCTGGTGGGTTTTGGAATTTTGTTACCACTCATTTGTTGAACATAATGAATCAAACCTGGTTCTTGTCTCATCTTCTAAAAATCTTTTATTTTTTTCTCCTAATGTTAAAATAATCCAGGAAATTTGGAAAGTTCTCTATTGATGTATTTTCCATTAATTTTATGTAAACACATTGTTTTTTTAATATATTTATGTTTCAGTTAAAATAAACAGGTAAAAAAAATGAAGTAAATAAAATGAGGCCTTCAGATTTGGCAATAAAGATGGAGGTCGGAGCGAAATCCACAGGATAGTGGGTGGAAAAATGAATGGGGAATGAGAACATTTTTCTTTCCGGGAATTTTGTTGTTATTCACGGAAAGAGATTTGATTGTATCCATAGTTTGCTTTGGAAGTAGCTCGTAGAGAGAGACTGGTGCTTCAAAGGGAGGGAGAGGTGCCATCCAGCAGGACAGCTCTCTCGTCTTGGACAGGGATGGAGAGAGCACAGGTGGAGATGGGAGTCACAGGAGAAGAGCTTCCCATGACAGTGGGAACAAAAGACAGGAGGTGGGGACACAGACAAGGATGGGGACTGAAGGGATCATGCCAGAGCACCTCCGCCTTCTCCGTGAAGTAGGAGGCCGGGCCTCCGATGAAGAAGAACAATTTGGAAACGCCCCCGGGGATCAGGAAAACAAGTTGGTCAAGTACACATGTGACCAAGGTGTGCTGAGGGTCTGCTGACGGTAGCAAACAGGTGACAAGAATAACAACACAGACTGGTTAAGAGGAAGGTGGGAACAGCTGGAAAGCCCAGGGGCAATCGTGGGCGTACCAGGTAAGAGCACTGTTGAGGAGGACGGAGAGCCACCAGGTGGTGCCATTCCTAGGAGGAAGGTCGGCCGTGGGGAGAGTTAAGGAGTGGAGGAGGCAGTGGCTACCTGCACCTGCCCAGGCCCTGGGGAGCCCAGGGGGAGGACTGCACCAGGTGAGCCCTGTCTGACGACAGCTAGAACTGCACTAAGGCCAGTGGGTGGAGATGTTCAGAAGAGGTCAAGATCAGGAGAGTTCTACAGAGAATGGGAGCTCCCGGGCATATCATGAAGGGTTTTATTATTAGGTCTGGCAAAGCCAAATGCTGAAACAGAGAAGCCTTTAAATCTCCACAACTTAATCCATATCTTTCACAGATTTTTTTTTTCTCCCAATGGAATCTAGGAGTGCTCTTCCACTGAGCTACATCCCCAGCCCTTTTCATTTATTTCTTTCTTTCATTTCGAGACAGGGTCTTGCTAAGTTGCCCAGGCTGGCCTTGAACTTGCGATCCTCCTGCCTCAGTCTCCCAATAGAATGTGTTTCTCACTCACATGAGGTCTAGTGGGTAGCATCTAGGATTCATTCAGGCTGACAAAATCTCTGCCATCTTCAAAGTACAAGACTTAGAAAGTCCTATTGGGTGTTGGCATCCAGCTGCCGGATAAATGGAGAGAATCCACTTAGGAGGGGTTGGGGGACCAGGCCCCAGAAGTGGTTCCATTGGCCCTAATGCAGTCACAAGCCCCCATACAACTGCAAGGGAATTTAGCTGGAAAACACGGTCTAACTATATGTTGAAGAAGAAAGGGAAATGGGTTTAATGAGTGGCTAGCAGCCCCTTCCTCGGTTTGAGAGAAGGGACAGTAGAAAAAGGAAGAACCCTTGTCCAAACTCCTGTCCTGGTAAATGAGGAATTTGTCTTCAAGCCAGAGTTGGAATTCTGGGATTCAGGGCTGGGACTAGGGACTGAGGAAATCAAAGCAAATTAACCCCTTTGTGGCATGGAAAATTGTGTACAAACTCGGCAGCAGTGGTGAGAGAGACAGATCTTTCCAGAAACTAGGACACAGGCTTCTAGGCAATCAATCCCAAATGATGGAGGACAGAGAGACAGACATAGATTACAGGGGCCTTGACCCAGGGCCTGCCAAAAGCTGGAAATGTACTGAAGGCCATGGACAGCAATCTTCGACCAACTCGCCATCCTCTCCTCTGTGTACTCACATAAAAAGCCTCACTCCTTTGTACCTTCACAGTGGCCCTTGGTAATCCATTAAAACCAGAATCCAAATCGTTGTACACTGAAAACCTGGTTGCCTTTATTCATGGTCACGGAGAGCCTGATCCTTTCCTTCAATAGTCCCAGTATACGAAGGGAAATCTGGTTCATCCTATGCAGTCAAAGGAAAGAAAGAACAATACAACAGCTGTGTTTGGGTTCCATATAAATAGGTTGAATGTGTCCTGGCCCCTCTCTGCTGGGGCCAGTTTCTAACAGCAATAGGCCCAGGTGGAAATCTGCAGAGTGTCAGCCTCGACCACCCGGCCAGCTGGGTAGCCAGGGTCCTGAAAAGAAATAAGGCCGTCAGCTGCCAGGACACTTCTGTAGGTCCAGGGCTTTAACAGGTGGCTTTCCTTCCCAGGAGGCCAAGTATCGTAGCCATCTTGCCTCCACATTTACAAACTCCTGCCCACGGACAGTGCAGCTCCTGCAGAGGTGGGTGGGGTCGGATCTAGTAGGCCACGCAGGAAAACGCGGCAGCTTATCCTGCTGAAGGCAGAAGAGACGTGTCCTTCAAGTGCTGGAGTCAAGTGCCAAGAGAAACCAAAGAGTAAGATGTTGTAAGATCAACCAGTTCAAGAAGACAGTGGACATCAGGAGCCCATACCAGCCCATACCCCTGAGGCCCTCCTGGAACAGAGACCAGACCTAGGTCATTCGTCACAGGTCCTGAGCGGGGAGCCAGAACTGCAATTCACAGTTTGTCACCCACCCTATCACCCACCAGGGCTTGCAGTGGGCATTTGTGGCCAAGTCATGCTGCCCGAAGCCTCCACTCAAGGTCTCAGGAGATACACCCTAGACCCAGAAGCCCAGGAGCGTGGTAGCCTTGCCTGCCTGCCTGGAAGAAAGGCCTGAACTTGGACTCTAAAAAGTTCTCTGTGCTGCCCAATCTTCTTTTCCTTCCTCTTCCCCTCCCACTCCTTCCCTTCCCCTCTGGCTCTCCTCCCCCTCTCTCCTCTTCCTCCCGCTCTTCCTCCTCCTTCTTCCTCTTCCTCATGTCTCTCTCCATACTAGGGATTACAACCCAGGGGGACTCGACCACTGAGCTACATCCCCAGCCCTTTTTATTTTTATTTTGAGTCAGGGTCTCAAAATAATTGCCCAGGCTGGCCTCAAACTTGCAATCCTCCTGCCTCGGCCTCCCAAATAGCTGGAATTACAGTTGAGCACCACTGCACCTGGATTGTGCTGCTCAGCCATCTCAGTGTTCTTCTATAATGGTACCAGCAAGAGCAAGGAAATAAGGACCCTTGGGTCACCTGTAAAGTCGCTATGGTCTGAATGTGTTCTGTCCCCTCTGAAGCTCATGTTGACAGTTGATTGTAATTGCAGTGGGGTTTGGAAGTGGGGTCTTTAAGAGATGATTAGGTCATTAAAAGGATGACTGCATTCCTTTCCGGAGTGGGTTTGTTCTCATGAGAGTGAATTATTGTAAAGTGAGGTCATTCCTTGTGTTCTCTCTCTTCTCAGTGTGCCCACATGTCCTTTTCTGCAGTGCCATGACTCGGCCCGAGGCCTTCACAGTTGCCAGCACCATCTCTTAGATTTTCCAGCCTCCCAGAACCATCTCAGGTATTTGTTACACCAACACAAAATGGACTAAGACGTTCTCAGGGGGTGGGAGCGATGGCACTCGGAGAAGTGAGGGGGCGATACTCTGAGGGAACAGCCCTGCCCTGAGCTGAAGGATTCGTAGGGTACAAGGAAGAATATTGCTCTCAAAATAGACAACATGGTTCCAGTCTCAGCTCTGCTGCTCTTGGGCCCGTCCTTTCTTACTGGGTCCGATTCCTGATCTACAGAAATGAAGATGGGTGACGTCAGATTCATTCAGGGCCTCTTCTGTGCGTTCCAGATTTATATATCCCACTGCCTACTCCACGTTTCCCTCAGATGCCTAACAAACAGCTCAGATCCAACAGATCGCCCGATATTCCCTCCTCTCGGTAAAATGCCAACTCCATTCTTCCAGCTGGGCAGGCCAAAGATCTTGGCTCATTGTTTCCCTTTGGATGGGGATGGAACCAGCAGGAAATCCTTTCTGGTCCTCTTCAGAATATGTCCAGAAACTGACCACTCTGCCCCGCCCCCATCCACACCCCAACCATCTCAGGCCAAGGTGACTTCAGCTGTCCCTTACCTGGTCTCCCTTGCCCTTGCCCCTTTGTCCTAATCCCAGCACAGGTGCCAGGCAGATCTTTTTAACATGGAAGGCTACCCACATCCCTCCTTAACTCACCACAAATAAAAGCAAGGTTTTTACACTGGCTACAAGCCTAACCTTACGGCCCTGTTTGGGCTCTGACTTGATTTCCCCCTCGTCTGTTCTGCTCTGGCTGCACTGACCCCTTGGTCTCCTTGACCACTCCAGGTAAGCCCCATGGCCCCAGCCCTTGCGTTTGGGACCCCTCCTGCCTGGAATGTTTTTCCCTTTCTCCTTCACCCATATCATGACTGAGCTGCTGCCTTCCCAAGGCGGCCACCCCTCACCATTCTATTTAAACGGCACACTCTCCTGGCACCCTCTGCCATTCTAATTTTCTCAACACTTTTTTCCCCATCTACTAAACTCTCTTCTTTGCTACCTTATTTCTCATTGCTGCATTTCCCCGGAGATGTTTAAACTACATTTGGCCAGGGGATTTATTTGTTGTTCATTGCTGTATACCCAACAGTGCCTGGTGCTAAGAGCCACAGCCAAGTAATATGATGCATGGCATTTATGGTTGAAAGGTGACCCCAGCTAGCCATTGAGATGATATGATTATGTTAAGATCTGCATTCATATGGATATTGGACTTCTGCTGTCCACCTCAGCCTGCTACAGGACTCCTGGAGAATTCCCATTGGTTGGGGAAGTGCAGTAGGAGGGAATTCGGGAGGAGGAACTTCCTCTTCCCGGGCGAGGACGGAGCATTGGCGGCAGTTTCAAAAAATAAAGTTTGTTCCTGCTTGAGTGGCTCGTGATTTTGTGCCCAGCCAGACTGCGGCAGCCTGGCACATAGGAGATACTCAATAACTACGGCTGAGAATGGATGAAGCCACAAAATCAAATATTCCTGAATCCTGCCCATAATAAACTTCATTCTGGAAGTCAAAAATGGATTTATTATGAAGTCAGATCAAGCTGGGTTTCTCTTTTCTCACCCTCTTAGCAGAAGCAAGTGTAACGAATGTCCACGAGTGATCCTGTTTAACCCTCACACCAGCTCTGTTAGGGAGAGCCTCTCTGTTTACCAGATGGGAAAATTGGCTTCCAAAGAGATTAAGAAGTCAAAAAGCTAGAAAGCCCCCATCTCCAGCCCATCGGACTTTCCCCCAAAGCAGGAGTTCTTGGTGGCAGCATGTAGAGCCAGATGACCTCCCTAGAAACACCAGGACTGAGCTGAGTTAGGAATCACAGGAATGAAAGGTCTGGGGTCACGAAGGATCTCCAAAAAGCAAACAAGTCAACCAACGTCAAAACCCTCAAGTATCAGATTACAAAATAATGGGCGTTAGCTGGTTTGTCTTGTTTGTTTCCTGCATTTCACAATCCGTCTTGTGATGGTGGTCAGTGTTTACTGTCTATTTCCCCCCAGCAGCTACCCACTCTGGGTACCCGCAGTACCTAGCACAGTGTCTGGCATGTTCTAGGAACTCAATGAATGGATGTACAAACGAATTCAAGTGTGGTTCTGCTCATTCGTCAAATCCTGATCAAGCATCTGGCTTGAGCTAAGCATTGTCTGGGATGTTTATAATCTAATAATGGAGGCAGACATCTTTTTAAAAATCACATAAGTAGAAAAAACAAAACATGATCAATGGCATAAAGGAAGGTGTGGGGTGCTGTGTAAGTGTACATAGGTGCCCCTAATTTAGATGGGAGGGAGTCAGTAATTCTGTCTCCAGATCTGGTAGATGAAGGGAAGGAGGAGGGGAAATAGCTTCTGCTAAGGTCCTAAGCAGGGAAGGAACTGGCCTCCTTGACAGACTGATGTTAGGGGTGCCTGGAGCACAACTGTGAGTCCCATCCTATCAGACGTAGCCTGTGCTTCCTAGAATCTGTCAAAGGTGGAGGGCAAAGGCCAGCCTGATTCTGACCCTGGGGGATCCAGCTTTGTCCTCAGTGTCTCTGGCTCTAGAATCCTAACCTGGCCACTTTTCCTTGGGATGTGGGAGCGGTGTCTGGGAGCTACTGAGAGGATAGCTCTAGAGTCTGCATTGGATGTCAAGGCAGGATTCCAGCAAGGAGGGCTTTGTGTGGCCATGGCTGTGGGTTTCACCATGGCTATGGCTGGAGTGGGGCCGATGCACAGAAAAGAATGGCAGCCACTGGCCACTGCTGGCAATCGCACTCTTCTCTGTAACTCTCCCCACCCCCCAAGCAGCCCAGGTCCAGGACTAGCAGGTTGCTGCTAGAAACCTGGCTCTGGTTGGAGGAAGAAGGCCCGGTTGATGGCCGCGGAGACAGAGGTGTGTTTATTCAGGAAAAGAAGTCAGACGTGGACAGCAGTGGCCCCTGCCAGCTCCTCCCAGAAGGACTGGGTTGGGGGAGCAGGTTTCAGAGGAAGCTGCTCCCCAGCGGCTCTACACGACTCCAGGCCAGAAGCCAGAGCCAGGACGCAGCGGCCGCCCACAGGTAAGGCCTGCGCTCAGGGCGCACCACCGAGCGGGTCGTAGGCTTGGATTCCCCGGGCAAGCAGTGGGAGAGTCGTGCTCCGGCGACACGGTGCAGGGTACGGTGAGCGGGCAGCTGAAGGTCCTTCCCGAGCCCGCTCAATGGTCTCTTTGTGCTTGGCGGTTACCTAGGGAGAGAGAGTGGAGAGTGGGAGGGGCGACCCAACGGCCCGGCCCGCCCTGCGGACACGGGATGCGGTGGGACTTGGATCCTGGGGAGCAGGTCGTCAGAGATAAAGGGGTGGGGGTGAGGTTCTGCGCCCCGCAAGCGGTGCGTCTCCGTGGACCGGCCCCGGAGTCCTCGGGCCAGCAGACAGGTGTGTACCCCGGCTGCCAGGAGCAGAAGTGATTCCCCTGGTGGCCAGCAGCAACCGGAGCTACTTGAGGGAGGAGCCAAAGGAGGCAGGTGGGGCTGAGGGCAGAAGGACGCAAGGTCCCGAGCCGCTCGCCCCGCGACCTCAGGGCAGGGAGGCCCCAGGGGAGCCAGATCAGAACCAGGCGAAGAGCCCAGATCTTAAGAAAGGCGGGGGAGAAGGGCAGTGGGCCCACCCAGAGCCGCGGCTTTCTTTTATCCGGACGCTCGTGTATGAGCGGATTCGGGATCTGGACTGGTTGTGACCACAGATCTGCCCCCAATAGTACCTCTGGGTCCTAGTGGGTGTGTGGGGCCTCTGAGAGGGGGTGGCCATCTTTAGCAATGGCGAGTCTGCACCTACAAACCGACTGGCCCTTGCTCCAGTCCTGCCCAGCTTCCCAGACTTCGCTAGCTCTTCTCCCCTCCGCGCTCAAATAGGGACCGTGCACCCCAGGAGTCGGGGACCAGGGCGCCGCAGCAGGTGGTTCACTCTCAGCATCACCACCCCTGGTCCTCTGCTCTCTCGGCCCAGCTTCGCCGTCCGGCCCTCCCAACTGCGACGCTGGATTCGCGCCCCTCGGTCCTGCGGAACCCGAGCCTCCTGCCCCCGACCCGCTCATGTGGCTCTTGGAGAAGGCCGGCTGCAGGCTGGGGGCCGCCGAGCCCGCGGCCAGGGGGGCGCCCTCCAGCCTGCTCCCCGCGCGCCGGGCCCCGGGCCCAGCCCCGTGCGCCTTCCCCAACGTCCTCACCCCCGACCGCATCCCGCAGTTCTTCATCCCGCCGCGGCTCCGGGACCCGGGCGGCGCGCAGCCCCGGGCCGGGCCCCGCGTGGGCGCCCGCAGCCTGCCCGCGGCCTGCTCGCTGCCGCACCTGGCCGGCCGCCAGGGCTGGGCCTTCCTGCCCGAGAGCCCGCACACGCGCCGGCGCGAGTCCCTCTTCCTCTCGCCGCCCGGCCTGGCCGCGGGGCTGTCCCCGGCGCAGTCCCGCCTGTACGTCTCGGCCCCGGACCTGCGCCTGTGCCGGGCCCCCGACAGCGACGCGGCCCCGTCGCCCTTCGGCTCCCCGCGGCGGCGCCGGCCGCACTCGCTGCCCCGGGAGGAGGCCGCCCCGTCGGACCGCGGCCCGCCCGCGCCGCCGCTCTTCCACCTGGACGTCCTCTGCTGCCAGCTGCGGCCCACCAAGGACAGCGTGCTGCGCCTCGGGCCGCGCGGCGGGCAGCTGCGGCTCTCGGCCGAGTACCAGGCCGGGCCCGGGCGGCTGCGGCTGCGCCTCGTGAGCGCCGAGGCCCTCCCCCGGCCTCGGGCCGGCCCGGGCAGCGGCGGCGGCGGCTGCTGCGTGGTGCTCCGGCTGCAGCCCCGCGTGCGGCCGCGCGCCCAGCGGAGCCGCGTGGTCAAATGCAGCGCCAACCCCATCTTCAACGAGGACTTCTTCTTCGACGGGCTCGGCCCGCCAGACCTGGCCGCCCGCAGCCTGAGGGCCAAAGTGCTGGACCGAGGCGCGGGGCTGCGCCGGGACGTGCTGCTGGGCGAGTGCGAGACGCCCCTCATGGCCCTGCTGCCGCCCTTGGGTGGGGGGCTCGGCCCTGGGTCTTCTCTGGTGCCCGCCCACCTCAGCCTGTAGACTCTCGGGTTTCCCGCGGGGTCCGCCGTCTCCTTTCTTCCCAGACACTTAGCACGTATTTATTTTTACTAATAAAATGCCCGATTGTCTCTACTACTCCCCTGATGGGCATCCTGCGCTCTGGGGTGGCGATCTAACCACACCCAGGACCAGAAGCTCATCCAGTTTGGGTGAGTTGGAGCAGAAGGCCCAACCGTGGTTCTCCAACTCAGAGGACTTGAGAGTAACCCGACGTCAGAGACCCCGGGCAGCATCTCCAGCAGAGCTGCTTCCGGAAGCCTGGCCTGGGCAGGCCCCAGAGTCCCTGTCCCGTGAGACACCCACACCTTCTAGGAACCCTTTAATCACAGTCACTCTGCAAGAGCTCTGTGACAGAAGCCAACACAAACCACCTTTCCCTCAAGCTTCCTTGGGGCTGCACAGGGGAAATCAGCCCTTCCCTCCCTACCCCTCCTTTTGGTACCGGGTACTGAACCCAGGGGTGCTTAACCACTGAGCCACATCCTCAGCCTTTATATTTTATTTTGAGGCAGGGTCTGAGGTGGTTAGGGCCTCGCTAAGTTGCTGAGGCTGGCTTTGAACCTGCAATCCTTCCTGCCTCGGCCTCCTGAGCTGCTGGGATGACAGGTGTGAGCCACCACACCTGGTCCTACCTCTTCCTTAAACACATCTTTCCTAAAGACAAATGAAATTTGGGAGTGTGTCAGGGGATGTCAGACTAACACACAGTACCCCGTAACCTTCCTGCCTCCCTCCTGCCTACCCCTTCTATACCTGTGCTGCTCTGGTTGGGGGTCGGGGGTGGGCCAGGCTAGAGTCAAGAAACAGGGCAGCACTTGGAGACCCAGTGACTGAGAAAGAACCCCCCTGGGTGGAGATCTGGGGAGGAAGGGTGTGGCCAGAGTGTGCGCCCTGTTCTCAGGGATGCCAGAACAGGCTACCCCAGCCAGGAGGAGGAGGGATGGAAAATGAATTAATAAATGTAGGTCAGATTGTGTTTACCTCCTACCTGAATGTCCCTGACGTCAACAGTGACCTTCTTCTCTCCATCTCCACCTTCCCAGGAACTGGTTCCTCTTGGCTCAGGTCAAGCTTGGAGGAGGGAGAAGGAAAGAACGGAGGCCCTAGGTCATTCCAGCTTCTGGCTCACTCCCACTTGGGCCCTTTCCCACTTCCCAAGGTGCCAGCTGTGCCCGGCATCAGGGTTAAGCCTGCTGGGTCCAGACAGCACCTCGGCACCTCGGCACATGCAGTTCTAACATCAGCAAACTTACCTCTCCATGCCAAAGGCTCCGGGTCCCTTCACCTCCCCTGATTAGGTTCCCACCACATCGCCCTGGGCCCAGGAAACCTTGCTCCAGGTATGTCCACCAGGGGGTAGCATTGACCAAGCAATCAGGAGGCTACAGCTACAGCCGTCTCACACCAACTTGTCCCAGTCGAGTGTCCCTCCCAGCAACTCCATGAGGATGCACGCACTACTGTCATCCAATGTGACCTTGGGCCTGACTGAGCTAGTCAAAAGGAAATCTAGCCCTTGGACCTAGAGAGTCTGCTCCAGAGTCTGGGCTGCCAATGACCTCACCTCAATATCCACAAATGTGGGTTTCCACCTCCCCACCAGGTCGCTCCGACAGGATCATCCTTCCCCAGGATGGTAGCTCTCCAATCCCTGCACATCCTGGCAGCTTGCACATGCTTGGCATGTGACCTCCAAGGAGCCCACCTGCTGGTCTAGCTCTATCCCTACTGCTGTATTGTGTCTTCAAACCCTTCCATTACAACCCTTCCTGAGTATCTGGAAAGAACCGGAAGTGATGATGCACACTTATGATCCCGATGACATGGAAGGCTGAGGCAGGAGGATCCCAAGTTTAAGGCCAGTCCTGGCAACTTAGTGAGACCCTTCCCAAAATAAAATGAAAAGGTCTGGGAATTGTAGCTCAGTGAAGGAGTGCTCCTGGCTTAATCCTCAGTACTGGGGGGGAAGAGAGAGAATGAGATGAAGGAAAGCAAGCAGAAACTCAGAGGTCCCATAAAACCTTCATTCAGGCATCTCTTCAATACTTAGGGAGGGTCTATGGGGATCCAGGCCTTGGATCTAGTAGTGATCCAAGCAGACGAGAGACCAGACAATCAGACGTGTGTGTTACTTGGTGGTATAGAGAAAAACAAAGCAGGAAAGGGAATAGAAAAGAGAGAGTCAGGGAAAGAGAGGGAAAGAAGACTGTAGAGACAAGGAGCGAGAAAACGCAAGACACTTCTTTTCTTTTAACCTCAACACTTTGTGCCAGGTTCTGAACTTTACCTGGCACTAGTGCCTGTTCTTGTACCAGTCACCACAACCACTCAGGAAGGTAGGGGTGATTATCTCCACTTTACAAAGCAGGAAATAGATGAGAGAGTTTAATAAACTCGCCTGGGGTCAGCCTCAGCCGCGGGGAAGTTTTCTGACTGTGACTCTAACCAACCCCCCACCCCCAATGCCCCCTGGAGGCTAGGGGAGGCTCTGAGATGGAGAGTCTTCTCAGAAGTTTGCTCCTATGTCGGGGGCCACAAAGTCCCCGGAGGAGCGTCCAGGTAGCAAGACCTCAGGATGAAGAAACATGCTCTGGGGGCAAATACCCTCTAAGAGCCCGTGTGCAGACGTGTGCGACGGTCAGGACGGTCGTCATTGCCCCTCTTACTGAGGACATGGTTTGCCTCAGGGCTCACAGCAAATACAGGGCAGACCACATTCTTCCTAGCCTTTCTGCTCCAAAAATCAGAGCTCCCGCCTGGGAGTACAGGCAGGGTCACCAGGAGCAGTTCAAGGCCAGAAGCTAGGGTCAAACTCCCACTGTTCCCTCCACCCACAGTGGCCTTTGTGCCAGGATGGGGGAGGGCTGGAGGCCCGAGATCTGGAGACCTAGATGTTTAGAGAGCCTGCCAGAGTCCTTTTTTTTAATGATTGACACACAGCCCCCTTGCTAACTCCCTTGGGTGGTGGAGGTCTTCCCAGGCATGGAGCTCCTAGCACCCAGGAGATGTGGTCCCTAATCACTGAAGGGGGCCCTTCCCGGAGTGGGGAGTGGGCCGGGGCTGCATGTGGCCCTCCCTGGAAGGGCAGGCTGGGGCTGAGCTTTAAGTGGTTTCTGTGGTTAAGGGGGTGGAGAGGAGGGGAAGGAGAAGCTGGTGACTGCTCCCCAGTTCCAAGCCACCACCGCCACCTCCACCCCTGCAGGCTGTTTGCCCCCCCCCTCCCGGGCCCTGAGATTCCCGGGTTTGATAAGGGGTCTGGGCACGTGGGGGGTGAAGTGATTCTCTGATCCCTATCAGTCTTTTCCTGGGGTAGGAATGTAAGCCTGCCTCGAGGAGGAGGAGGAGGAGGAGGAGGAGCACTGCCCTGCTCTGAAGGGACTGATTCCTCAAGACAGAAGATGGAACAAGACGGGACTTCCCAAGAGAACCTCCCCAAAGAACCCATCGGCCTTCTAACGCTGAGCAGAAAGAACCCGAGTGGCTCGGGGCAAGCGGGGGCAGGTCAGGAGGAGGCTCAGGAAGCGTGGGACTCTGGAGGCCGACAGGCAGGACCCTGCCTTTCCCAGCCCCCAGTCACCTCCTCCCCACCCCACACGACAGGGGAAACGGCAGGACCACACCTGCAGGAACTGGGCCGTTACCTGGGGATGCCCATCTGCAGGCATGCTGCAGGACCTCCACTCCGGGCCTCCGATGTGGGGGAGGGTGTAGTCAGGAAGGGGCCTGGGAGACCCAGAGTCACAGAGGAAGACAGATCGCAGGAGGGGAAGAGATGGAGGGGGCGGGGAGTCGGCCCTTGGAGCTCGAGGGAAGGGGAGAACAGAAGGACAGACCCCCTCTCCCTCCTCTGTATCCATTCCCCTGCCTCTTGCCAGCCCAGCTTGTCAGTCAGAGGGTGCTGGGTGGGGTTGCGCTGGGCCTCTTATCCCCAAGCTGCCCAGGGAGGAGAGGCCCCAAAGCCACCGATGGACCTCCTGTTGTATGCAGAGAAATGTCTGTGGGCCCGAGTTCACCAAGAAGACCTGGGGGAAATCGGAGCCTGACATACCTTCAGAATCTCAGTACAAGAAGGGCCTCAAACACTTCCTCCATCTCTACCCCCTTGTCAATCACCCTAGGAGCTGGAAAGTCCTTCTCCTCTTCTAACCTTTGTCCCTCAAGCTGCAGCCTAGGGAAGACTCTGGGAGCTACCCAGGACAGAGGTGCTGATGGTGGCAGAGTGTGAAGCTCCAGGGTGGGGCAGGAGTGAGGGATGGTGAGATGGGAGGACAGAAGAGGGAAGGGACAGCTGCCTGCCCTCTCCATGCCAGGTGCCACGTGCACAGGTTGGGGGGAGTGGGCGAGTCACGAGGCGGTGGCGTGGCTGGCTCCTGCTCTGCTGTTTACCAGCTGGGAGAGAGAGCAAGAGGAGGTGCCAGGGAGCCTCCTGCTGCAGCCTGGCCCCCCGCCAGCCGCCTCTTGGGTAACCAGGAGAGCCAGGCCCAGCTAATCAAACTCTGGGCCGAGGCAGGGCAGGAGAACCACAGAGGCCTGATGCCTTGACCATCCCTGGACTCCAGTGCGGCCTCAGTGTGCACAGGCTCGGCTGGGGGTGACCTCTCTGCTCTCCTCTGCTCCCCTATTGCACCCCTGCTCCACGCTCCCCCACCCCTTCCCCTGCCCACGCCCTGCCCAGACCGGGAGCATGTGGAGCCTCGCAGAGACCAGGAGGTCCAGGAGAGACAGCGGGCAAAGAAGGAACCAAGAGCCCCGGAGGAAACAGGACCCCAGCACGCCCCTCCCTCACTATCCTCTCCTCCCTCTCTCCCCTGCTCTGGTGGAAACCACAGATTCTGAAGTCACAAGGACCTGGGTTCAAATCCTAGCTCCACCGTTTATTGTCTTTGTGCAGGTCTCGGGCAAGTCGTTCAGGGAGCATCCCTGGGTTCGTGAGCGAATCTGGAACAATCACGCTTCCCTGTGGTGGGTGTGCAGGTCAT